GATGGCAATCTCCTTGGCCAACCGCGGGTTCTGGTCCGTCACCGTGTAGATGCCATAGTTGTGACCCAACGGGTCAACCGGTGCCAGCATGGTGAAGGCGGCCGTGTGGTTGTTCTCTGCCACGGGCGGGTGACGGTTCAGGTACTCCTGGAGGAGGCTGTTGACGGCCGTGCGGCGGCAGCTGCCTTGGGGGATGATGGAGACCAAGGTGCGATCCACCAGGCTTTGGTCGAAGAGCATCCCACTGCACTTGAACTCCACGCAGGCACCCGAGGTGTTCTCCAGCAGCATGTCCCGCACGCTACGGGTGTCACGCAGCCCGTAGAGCTGCCCCCGGGTGCGGGGGTGGCTGCCCCCCACATTACGGGACCTCACCATGTACTCCTGCGGCCCCTCGATCTGCACCTTGATGAAACAAGCCCTGAACTCCTGAGGGTTGGGCCACCATGAGAGGTAGTCGCCGGTCCAGGAGGTCAGGTCACTCTCTTTGAAGGGCACCACGTTGTACTCGTACTTGTCCACCTCCACGCGGTAGAAGCGGAGGTGGTTGGCGCTGACCGGTGCCTCCTCACACTCCTCAAGGCTGCGGTAAGGGTAGATGGGACCGTTGGTCTCATCAACGTTGTTGGGGTCGGGCTTGGCCACGTTGATCTGGAAAGCCGTCTTCTTCAGGTTGGGGTCATCGTGGTCCGACCGACGGTAGCCCAGCTTGCCCAAGTAGGGCTGGGACACCCCAACGGCATTGGGGTTGAGCTTGGGGCTGGAGGCCACAGCTTCCAGCTCCTCTCCGCCCAGCGTGGCGGTGACGTACGCCGAGTAGGCATCGGGGCGCTGGCTGTCGCAGAAAGCGGGCAGACAGGCTCCGTTGGGACCCGTCACCACGCTGTCGAAGCGCCCCCATGCCCGGGGGTTAGCGGGATAGCCGGGCTGGGGCTCCAGGTTGATGAGACTGATGACCACCCCTTCCAGTTGCTCGTAGGGGTTGAACTTCTCGTTGCTGTAAGCCCTGACCTTGACGAAGCAGCGGCGGTCCTCCGGCACGTCCAGGTTGAAGAGACGTCGCTCCCGGATCTCCAGGTTCCCCACCAGGAAGGTCCTCTCCTCCCTCTTCCTCCGGCTCCCCCCAGCTGGCCGGAGGACCCCTTCCTCCTCCCACAAGCCAGTCTCGGGGTTCAAGGACCACAACTTCATCTTCTGCAGGTGCTCCGGCATCCAGACCTGCCCCGCATCCATCCGAACCTCCACCGGCCCCGTCTGCAGCGCCGCGCCGCTCTCCCCTTCCCGAAAATCCACGGCAAACATGCCGTAGGTCCGCAAGGGGACAATCTCCCCCTCGGTGTCGGTGAAGCTGAGGTCGCTGGAGGCGGCGCCGGCTGTCGCCATGTCCCTGGGGTCTAGGAAGGTGACACTGGCTTTGACTGTGCCCTTGAAGACCTCCCCGGAGGGACGGAGGAAGGCACCGGCAGGAAGGACGAGCTCCCCGATGGGCTCCCGGCCACTCTCCTCCCCCAGCGGGATGGCGTTGCTCCGGCTGCC